GAAAGGTTAGTGACTAGAGCCATACCATAGGAGAAGATGTGGCAATCTACTTCTGTAAAGTTTACAGCTGTGGAAACTCTAATCTGTTCTATGGAGTCACTATAAGCCAAATGGGATGATGGTAGGCTATCACTTATTCTTCATAGAGTCGTTAGTAGGTCCATGGGTTTGAACCATTGATCCTTTTAGCAGCTAAGCACTTAAACAGTGTTCTACCAGAACTATTTTTGTAGCCCTAACTAAAACCAAACGAAATCAAACCAAACCACTTCCTTTGAACTGATTCTGACTCACAGTGACCCTGTAAGACAGAGTACAACTGATCCTTTCATTTTCCAAGGATGCAAACCTTTGTGGAAGTAGACTGCTTTGTCTTTCTCTCATAGAGCAGATGAAGTATGTTCTTTATTACCAAGAATGTAGAAGATCGTGTATGTACACAAGGGATCTATAGACAGTTGAGTCTTTACCAAAAAGAATTGGTTGACTCTGAAATATTTCAAGAAGTACTATAAAATCAACAGCCAATGGTAGTGAAGGAGGAAGTTCAAACTTCACTGAGTGCATTGGCAAAAAAACCCCAACAACAACAACCCAAAAGCAAACCAGAAATGGCCCCAGGAATCTATAGGATACCAATTGACATCAACTAACAGATGTAGCCTTGGACATGCTCACCAGTCTATTCTAGGAAATTTGGAGGACAGCTGTCTGGCCAACTGACTGAAAGAGATCCATATTTGTTTCCATTTCCAATAAAGGTGAATAGATTATGCAAATTCTTTAACAATATCATTAATACCATACATGAGCAAAATATTTTTGAAGATCATAAAAAATGTCTTGAAGAGCACATAGAGAACTGCCAGAAGTTTAAGCTGGGTTTCGAAAAAGGCTGTGGCAGCAGGGATATTACTGCTGACGTCAGAAAGTAGAGAGCATCAGAAGAATGTCTACTTGAGTTATATTGATTATGCAAAGGCATTTGACTAGGTGGATCATAAAAAATTATGGATAACATTGAGAAGAACAGGAATCCCAGAATGCTTAATTATGTTCATGTGAAACCTATACTTAGACCAAGAAGAAGCTGTTGTCAGAACAGAGCAAGGGAACATTGCATGGTTTAAAGTTAAGGAAGGTGTGCATCAGGGTTGTATCATTTTCCCATACCTATTCAATTTGTATGCTGAGCAAATAATTAGAGACGTTGGACTCTCAAGAGGAATGTGGCATTAGGATTAGAAGAAGACTCATCAACAACGTATTTTATACAGATGACACCACCTTCCTTGCTGAAAGAGGAGGTCTTGAAACTCTTTTCAATACAGATTACATCACATCAAGAAAATAACCTTCATCACTGCACTGATTAGCAACATCATGATGTTGTTGTTGTTGTTGTTATGTGCTGTCGAGTCCCTTGCGACTCATAGCGACCCTGTGTACAACAGCCGAAACCCTGTTCTGTCCTGTGCCAATCGCACTGTTTCTGATACATCCATCCCAATTACCCCAGTCACTGAATCATTCCACCTCGTAGAGGGCCTTCCCCTCCCGCACTGTCCCTCCACCCTCCCAAGCATGATGTCCTTCTCCAAGGATCGGTCTCTCCTTACAACATGTCCAAAGTATGTCAGACGAAGCCTCAGAATCTTTGCCTCCAAGGAGTCACCCACTCTAATCCTCTCCAGGATGAACCTGTTTGTTTTAGATGGAGAAAAGATAGAAATTGTGAATAATTTCATCTTACTAGGATCCAAAGTCAGTATCCTTGGCACCAGCAGTCAGGCGATCAGGAGATGTATTGCACTGGGAAATTCTGTTGTCAGGGACCTCTCCAAATTACTGAGGAGCAATGATGCCAGTTTGAAGACTAAGGTGTACCTGATCCAGGGTATTTCCTCCCCCCCCAATCATTTGATTTGCATCTCAGAGCTGGACAATAAAGATAACAGAATAATTGATATATTTGAGCTGAGTTTATTGGTGAAGAGTACTGAATATTCCATGGACTGCCAAAAGAATAGATATGTCTTACAGAAAGTGCAGTCAGAGTGCTTCTTGGAGACAAACATGATGACGCTTCATCTCACATACTCTGGACATGTTGTTAGGAGAGGCTGTGTCTTGGAAAAGGATATCATGCTTGAAGTGGTTGAGGGTCTGTAAAAGAAAGGAACACCTTCAACAATATGAATTGACACAGTGACTGCAGCAATGGGCTCAAGTACATTAGAGATGATGAAGATAGCAAAGATAGGACAGGTTTCAGATCTGTTGTTCATAGGTTTGCTATTAGTTACACTTGATTCTATGGTATATAACAACAACAACAACAACTACAACTACAACAACAGACAGTTGATATTCCAGGAGTTAACAGAAGAAGTAGACAGAGAACAGGTTATGCTGGCTGGCCATAGTAAGTTTAAACATTATTGTGAGTGCCATAAGGATCCACTTAAATATTTTAATAAAGGAAGTAACAGGTTATATGAAGAGACTTGTCAAGGTTTTGTGTTGAATGGGTTTGAAGACAATGGGAATGAAGGTAGGTGAACCAGTTAGAAGATTTCCAAGTAAAGTAGATGAGAAAAGATAAGACTTGAGCTCAGGTGGTGCCAATGAGATAGAAAGGATGAGACAGATGGTAGAGATAGTAAGGTTTCAGAAACAAAAGGACTTGTTCATTAATTGGGTGTGGGAGAGGGAGCAAAGGGAGTCCAAGATGATGTTCAGGTTTCTATTTGGGACAATTGGATGGGTGGTGCTGTGGAAGAGAAACTAGAATGTAATGCATGATTTGTCTAGTAAAAGGCTTTGGAACACATTGGATATGTGTGTATGTGCTGACATTTTGACAAATTTCAATTTGAGTATTGCCTCTGCACTTCATAGTTGTGTGATTTTAAATAAGTTATTATTAAATAAATTATTGTAGGAGCAATCATTTTGTAAATTACTATCTAACTTGGGAGGGACTGGAGAGCATTCTGCTGAGTGAACTAACTCAGTCCCATAAGGACAAACACTGTATATATCCATTATTGTAGAAAGAGTATGAGGATCCAAGGCAAGGGGGAGGGTGGAAAAGGAGGGGTGAAGATAGGGGGTGAGGGTGTTAATCATAGGGTTGCACAATTTGATGAGTGGGTGGGGTGAAGGATCTTTTGTGAATAACCATGTATTCAAACTTTGTAAATAAATCAGAATTAAAAAATTTTACTTTACCTCTTGTTTGTGTATGTGTCCATTATATAAAGGAATCCAATGCACAGTGTCTGGAATTCAGTAGACATTCTAAAAATGTTAGCTATTATTACATCTCAAAAAAGGCTTTGGGTGGAGGCTCAGAACAAATGGATCAGGTCAAAAGAGGAAAAATAAAACGTTGCGGCAGACCAGTTGAAGGAAAAGGAGATAGCCAAACAGGACTGAGCTACAGACACATGTTGCTGAACAGATGAGTCATTGGAAGCAGCAAGCCAAATTGCCCAGGCCATGGCAGGCTACAACAAGATGACTTCACTGCCAGTGGAGAATCTTGGGGAATGTTCCGGAAACCCTTTCTCCTCTCCTGACCCCAAGAAATCATAATTTCTTCCTTTTATTTATAGTACTTGCCACACCCTGCCGTACTGTCTGGAAGCAAAATGAAACAGTGGAAAGGGGTAAAAATGCCAAGATTTGAGTCCTATCCAGTTTGGTGAGGAATCTTGGATCTCATGCATCTAATCACCCTCTCGAGTACAGCTACATCCATACACTCAGTAAGATATAGACAATATTACTGATTGATTACAATAATTAATTTAAGCACACCAGATTGAGAATGTAGTATCTGGCAGGATTTCCATCTGAGTAGCTTTGAGTTGGAACTTACTTGAAGGCACCTAATAATGTAAACTAGTTTGGTTACCGATTTGCTAAATGTCTGTTATTTTACCTGTATCTCCTCATCTGTAACATAGGAGTGAACTGACATGTTTATCAAGTAGGAAGCTCTGGTGTTTGCAGGTTGCTGGGATGCCAATTCAAAAGGTGTGCCTTTCTGGTGGTTCAAATCCATCAGTGGGAGAAAGATGGGCAATCTTTCCCCTTATGATTTACAGCCAATAAGGTAATAAGCTAATAAGCTGGTTCCCACTTGATGGCAATAAGATCATGAGTACTTCTCAAGAGCTACGTGAGGATTTGGTAAATTTGGTAAATTTTCAATAAAATATGTACTTCAACCTGAGTATTCTATTAATTGTATATTTGGACTTCTTCCTGGCCCGTCAGACCCTAGTTCTTTGAGGACACTACTTGGTCCTCATTTCTGAGTCCTAGCACTTAGCCTGTTGGCACTTATTTTCATGAATGAATGGATGAAAGAATCAATGAGCGTGCACAACCAAGCCACCGTGCCGGAGTTCCGCCCCCTTCCGCTGCCCCTACAGCGCTGCAGGACCGCGGGCGAGTATCTCGCGACCGTTCGCTGGCGCGTGCGCGGGAGCCCGCGCGCAGCCAGAGGTGGCGGCGGGCTTCTCGAGAGCGCGCGCGCGCGACGGGGCGGGGTCGGAGGCGGGCGGGTGGCTAGCTGTAGAGCCGGCGACTGCGGCGGGTGGCCAGCAGAGCGTGTGTCGAGTAGTAGACAACTAGGTGGCGGCGATGTTGCCGCCTGTGTAAGGCGTGCCGAGGAGGCCGCGGCGCTTGAGGCCCCAACGAGAGTGGAGAAGCGGCGAGCTGGGGTCGGTGGGTTCGGGCGCCTGCCCGGCTATGGTGGCCACGGGCGGTGGTTGGCGCGGCAGCGCTGCGTGCCCGGGCCGTGCGGTGCAGGGGCCGTCGCGGCGCTGACGACCGTGGGGCCCAGCCGCG